GTCCATAAACATGCAATACAAGTTTATCAAAATGGTTGCACTTTTTCATTATCCCTCATGTACAGACGCAATCAAACCGAGGCTGCAATTTTCATGTTCTTTTGTTGTGATTAATGCTTCCCGGAGATCACTCTTTCTCAAAATGTTTATACATCCAAACAGCAGGTGTTAAGTACCATGTGGTAGCTGTAAAATGTTGCTATGTACTTTACTTAGTGCTGTTATATTTTTCTTGTCCTTTTCCTTGATTCCAGAAGTTGAAAATTAAGCACCGCTCAAACCGGCACTAGAGGGCATGAGGAATGTTGCACCTTTTCATTATCCCTCATGTACACGGGGGAGGAAGTGTTACACGAAGGATGGAGTTCTTGTGATAACTTGTTTGGAGTTCTTATGATAACTGTCACGGAGTTCCTGGAAAACGTTACGGATTTCTGTGGAAAACTTTTCTATATACTGGGAGAACTCGCGTAAAAATGATTATTTTTAACTTTAAATGGGGAGTTTGAGGTGCTAAATTAAACTTTGATAATTAAGCTTGCCCTACATATTGTATTATGTTTCAGAAAAAATCATTTAGTCAATATTTTGTCGCCTTTTTAAAAAAAATCTGGTAGTTTTGAGAAAAATTTCCAAATTACTTGCTAATTCGTACATATTGACCTTTTCATTTGTGATCTTCTTCGTTGCTATACTTAATTACCTAATTATTATACAGAGTTGCAAACATAAAGCCCGGGCTAATATATTTATACCCGATTTTTCAAATGTTACGGAGTTCTTGTGATAACTTAAAATATGTCCTGGAGTTCTTATGATAACTTTTGTGACTGCCAGTGTGTTTTTGTGCCTAAATTCACGGCACGTTTAAGCGTATTTTATTAGTCAATAAGTGTGTAAATCATTATGAAGCATAGTACGCTTATCATTTGCACAAACATTTGGTTATATAACGTTGGTTTTTCAGTTCAAGAGATATTTTTCTTACCTCCGTTTCTTGTGTTTTTTTGTTTGTTTTGGTCTTTGTGTGTGTGTGTTTTGTTTTATTTTATTGGAATGGCTGTAAACATACTTGATGTAGAGCATTTACTTACAGGATAAAATTACGCTTTGAATTTAATACTCAAGCATGATTTCGTCATATATACATTATTCCTGGCTCCTGGCAGTTTTAGAGAACATTAAGTAACTATGCTATCGGTATGCATGTAAATGGTTTTCAGCAAAATAGGAGGTAGTATGCACTACCTTTATCTAAATTTAATGAGGTGGGTGTCGTCTTTATGTATTCAACGGGTATTTCAATTTCTAAAAGGTATCAGTTTTTGTCATAGAAACGTATAAAGTTCTATGACAATGATATGACGATAGAAAGTAAGTCTTCAATAAGATATGTGAGTCACCGTAAGGTTCATGCCGTTTATCGACCTTGTTCCTTTCTCTATTAAATCCAATGTAGCATCACGTGACGTACAGCAATTTCCATATTTCGGAAAATTACTGCATACATTTTTCTTATCAAAGTTGGAGTCCTAGTTGTGGAAATTTTGCAACAACTTTTGCTGTAATTGATTACAAAAATATATTGTCGAACTTCTTTCGCTCGAACCCGTAGGGCACGTGCAAATCTGTCGAAGAGATCGGTAGTAATCGGTTGATTTTTTATGCATAAAAAGATCATACATTTCGGGTACATGGGTGTGAAGGGTATCTGATAAATGATATAATTTACTTAGCCGCTTCTCGAGGGAAGCCCAACTACTTATTGTTTGCTTTAGAAAGGCGGTTGCTTAAACCATGTAACTGAGAAAAAAGTGTAAGTTTTAAACAATTTTTCCTTGGCGGTTTAAGCCATGTTACTGCTGAATACAGGTGACCGCTGATTCAGGTTTTCCTGAAGATTTTTGTTTGCTTTTTTGTTTCATTTTACGCCTTTTCCCAGCAGTATTTCAGTCATACGGGCGGGTAGTTTCCTAACCGTCGTTCCTGGAGGGTTACACTACCTTCCTCCGTGCTAAACTACCAAAGCATCTCCCGGGGATCGAATCCACGCCAGAAAGGTAACTGGAGTAGAAGTCATCGACTCAAACACCTCGACCACGGAGGCGGTCCTTCCTGAAGATAGCTTAGCACCTGTTTATCCTATATAGACTGTACACCAAAGCAGTTTCATGTCTTCTCCAGATATATTGAATGTTCGTGTTTTAATTTTGCCACATGACCTCAATGTTGCATTTGCGGAAACTTATGACATAAAACTTTTGTTGACGAACAGTATACTCAGAAACATTTAGTGCCTTCGTTGGGTTTTATGTCAATATGATTTCGCACAACTTTAATTAGGAACTAAAACACGATCAAAACCAACGTTATATAACCAATTTTTTGTGCAAATGATAAGCGTACTGTGCTTCATAATGATTTACACACTTATTGACTAATAAAATACGCTTAAACGTGTCGTAATTAAGCACAAGAAACACACTGGCAGTAACAAAAGTTATCATAAGAACTCCAGGACATATTTTGAGTTATCACAAGAACTCCGTAACATTTGAAAAATCGGGTATACATTTATTAGCCCGGGCTTTATGTTTGCAACTCTTCACTATAATTAGGTGATTATGTATAGCAACGAAGAAGATCACAAATGAAAAGGTCAATATGTACGAATTAGCAAATAATTTGGAAATTTTTCTCAAAACTACCAGATTTTTTTTAAACAGCGACAAAATATGGACTAAAACATTTTTTGTGAAACATAATACAATATGTAGGGCAAGCTTAATTATCAAAGTTTAATTTAGCACCTCAAACTCCCCATTTAAAGTTAAAAATAACCATTTTTACGCGAGTTCTCTTAGTATATAGAAAAGTTTTCCACAGAAATCCGTAACGTTTTCCAGGAACTCCGTGACAGTTATCATAAGAACTCCAAACAAGTTATCATAAGAACTCCATCCTTCGTGTAACACTTCCTCCCCCGTGATGTACACACTCAATGAAACTGAGTCTGCAATTTTCAGGTAATTTTGGTGCGATTTATGCTTCCGATAGATCACTCTTTCTTCTTTCTTCTGCACTGAGCTTTTAAGTGAACTTCTATCACTTTGCTTTATCTGTCCTCCGTTGTAAACAACAATGTCTATAATCTGAAAATCATTCTATCATAAAATTTAAGGTAGACCTATAAATTCTAAATTCAAAAACCGTTTCATATTTATATGTCATTCTGCTTAAGCCAGTGATAGGGTGGTGTAGCTTAGCATGAACACAGTTGAACCAACTGATCCGTTCTTTATGAAAGGGCATGGCTATACGCTTAGATATTTTAATTGGTCATTTGATTTGGTCATTTACAAAACGTACATACAATGTCAAACATAAGCATTGGGTAATACATGCGTAAAATCATTCATGAGAATTTAATGAAAAACATTGCAGTGATTTTAACTTTTTTAAATTTTTTAGAATTAAATTTAGATATACTGGCGCTTCGAAACAAGAACAAAACAAAACAAAACAAAACAAAATAAAAGACTGATAATAGGACTTGCAATTTCAGGACGAGTCATAAATGTGTCAAGCGTTAGAGGAAGAATTGTTGAGCCAAACCAATCAAATTACAGCACTGCTAAACATGCAATAGAGACATTATCTGACTCACTACGACTGGAAATGATCAAGTTTGGAGTTAAAGTCAGTATAATTGAACCCGGCAACTTTGGGAATGCCACAGCGATAGGATCTGAAGCAGTGGTATGTCATGGATTTTCTTGAAGAACTTGGTTGTTTCTAAACATTTTTGTCACATCTCGGTGGTCGGTTCACTGAACTGGATAACTAACCTGTAATTACAATTGTTTTCCACAAGTGACCATATGATTATCCCAAATGATTACTAAGTCAGTGCTGACAGAGACAAATGGTCATTGTACTCAATTTAGGAGATTAATTATCCTGGACTACTTAAGCCTGAGAGACAACACTTATATAAAATATGTAAACGTTTTTGTCGATTATATAGTAGCGACAAATGTACGTTTTATTTGTATTTCATCCTTATTGATTTAGTACACGTGTAGATCTACTTTTTATGATTAAAAATACTAAACTGATTTTATTCGTTGACACAAAAACCTGCTTATTTTTACAAGATAAAGCGAAATAACCAAGAAATCGACGAGATGTGGGAATCTGCAAGGGATGAAGTTAAACAATCGTATTCAAAGGAGTTCCTGCAATCCTGGATAAACCCTCCAGTAGGAGGATGGCCACCAAAAGCTGATTCAACCGCTGTTGCGAAAAAGGTTGTGCATGCGCTTTGCAGTGCTTACCCAAAACATAGATATCTCATTCAGGGGAAGGGATCAATAGTACCTTTCGTGGACGAATTTGTTGTAAGTTTATCAATATTTATCTGCATATTTCTACTTACCTTTTATATTTTTGAATAGACAATGCTCATCCTTTTGAAATATGATATAGGCACTAGTTGTTTGAATTACTTATGAATGAAAACAAATCACCTTTTTGAAATGTTTCAATATTTGCAAAATATATCTAAACTCATCGTTTTTCAATGCACTGTGTAATCTTTAATTATAATGTACCTGATTAAACTAGCGATGTTGAAAATTATCAATCCAACATAGAAATAAAGAATCAAGAATTTTAGTATGTAATGAAATTAGACTTTGATAAAGAATTTAACAAATATACTTGGTCAAATACTTTATTGTGCTTTTTCAGGCATTGTCACTTGTACATAATATGCTACCAACGTGGATTGTCAACGCATATATGTCTTGGTGGAAAAAGAAATTAGTTCGAAGCTCGGCGCTGTAGCTAATGTTTTGGACTGTGTTGAAAAAATCTTATTGATGACCTTGCTAAAATCCGGTTCTGAGGAATAAACAATTAAAATGAAATATTTCTTTATTAGATTTGTAAACAAGATTATTCGATCAATTGGACAATAATTATGTCGGTAAACACTGGCATTATCTGGAAATGTTTTAATTTTATTGTTCGGTTTTGAAACTGCAGGCACAGCGAATATTTTGAATATTTGTAACATATGTGTGGTCTTATTACATTCTATGAGATATTTTTTTTAGTGTTTTGTATAACGTACAGCAGTTAACAGACAGCATGAATATATGTATAGTTAACAATATTTTGCAGTAGTTTCGTTGTTTATCTCTTTCTATATGGAGATCTCTCTTCTCTATATAAATATTCAGAGGATTCTAGTTTAATTCTTTAGCATTCAGCGGTCGGTGTGTAGAGTGCTTATTTGATATAGGTGCGTAAACCTAAATACACCGACATTCATGCACTTATAAACTTAATATAATTTTATATTATGCAGATTATCATATGTTTAAATCAGCTGCACAGTGTGTTAACATATTCTTTCCACATTCCCTCTATACTATTCAATGAGTTGAAATTAAGTCTATACATATTTTTACCAATAATCTTTAAGGCCAAATAAACTTTATAATTTTTATTCAAAACACTCGTGTGCGTTTGGTTAAGCTTAATTGTATACATATACTCGTACATTATAACGTAATCAATAATGATATAGGGATATAATTTATATAATTCTTTTCACATAGACTCTTTTACACAGCGGTCAGTTGGTATGAAAAATCGACCAGATGTAGTATTTGTATTGTGTGCAATTAATTTACCTTAATTGTATACATTATAATGTGATCGATAATAATATAGGAATTGATCACATTCCCGTGCCGCTCTTGCGATACCGTAAAAATGGTATTGCATGACCGTGCATATTTTTAGCGTGACGTCATTTACGTTATACAAACATAGTGTAAAGGCGCGCAAAATGTTAGTGTTATACTTTAGGCGCGTCAATAAAAAATGGTGCTTTTGGTCTTTATTTTTTTGGTATTTGATAAATAGTATATTAAATTCGTGAAAGTTCATTACTGAATTTATTGAACTCCTTTAAAATAAAATAAAATTATCTAACTCGTTCGGTAAATTCAGTATTAAACTAACACTCATTTAATATTCTCTACAAGATTTATATATTTGGGCTGCAAAGCAGCGGAGTCTTTAAGAACTTTTAAAAAGTCGCGAGATTTACTGCGGAACGACATTATTTACTTTGCGAGTCGTAAATAAAAACAAAAGTATATTAAAACATCCACATTCATCAACTTTACACTCCAGGACCAATTTAAGATTTCTTGCTTTGGTGAAAAACATTTTTATTAACATTTTCCTCAAACGGAAAGGCAATGTTTTCTTATCCCCGCAAACAAATTATGGACTGTGCAAATGCCTTTAGTTTACCAAGATTTAATATCGTGGTACCAGGCTAAAATTAAATCATGCGTAAACACGATTCATCTGTAAATAGCAAAGGTAATTCTGAAGGGGAACTGTTTTACATGAAACAAAACACATTGGTGTTGCATCGGATTGTATCTGTCAATCCATCCGTTTATCTACATTTAGGAAATAATTTTGTTTTGAAGAAATTTAAATGTATATATATTAAAGTTTTGTATTTTTCTTTTGAAATGATTTGGATAGTTCTGTGCGGCTTCAAACACTTGAAGAGACGCCTTTAATATAGTAAAGCGATGTCACACGTGTGTGTGAATTTTTATTTATTATGCTGGTTAGATTTGGTAACGGGTCTTATGCATTAATGACTTATATACATGTATACTACATTGTATATGTTAATGCTCTTTGATTTTTATTGTTGGTCATTTGCTTATTAAAAATTTAGATATGGTTTGGTTTAAACATTATTTTTAAGCTCACATGCGACACAAGTTCTTGCAACTTATATTAATCACTTTCGAGTCCGCTTCCTGGAACCAACCAGTTCTGGTGTCATATGCAGACATATGTTCATGACCCGAGAAGGACTCAAATCCATGATCTCTGGGTTGAGAGGCAGACACCTTAACCACTAGGCCACCGCTCCCCTAGATATCGTTTAATTGGGATAAAATTAATAATGTCCAAGGCATCAGGATAAACCATACATGTACGAGCTTGTCAGCTCTGTCTATATATAAATGAGCCGCGTCACGACAAAACCAACTTAATGGGTTTGCGACCAGCATGGATCCAGACCAGCCTGTGCATCCGCGCATTCTGATCATGATCCATGTTGTTCGCTATCAGTTTCACTACTTGTTATAGGGTTTGTAAGCGAACAGCATGGATCCTGATCAGACTGCGCGGATGCGCAGGCTGGTCTGTTCCCATGCTGGTCGCAAACTCATTATGTTGGTTTTGTCGTGACGCGGCTCAAATAAGATACACGGTGTCGGATTCCTGGCACAACACGACATTGAGTCAAGAGTACATGTCATGTCACAGCATAAAACGAGTACTACTAATACGATATCTCTATCTCTAATGTTTTAATGATTAAAATTGTTTAATAATACTTTGTTGCATGCTTAAATCGTCTGCATGTTCCAGATTGACACATGATTATTCACATTGCAATTACTTCCGATGGAAACGGATGTTTACTTTTTGACTATAGTATTCAACAAAAAAGATATTTATGCGCGAAAACCACCCCAGAGTGCACATATGGTTGCCATAATTACTCTGGTGTTGCCCTATTGTGGTGAACTATAACATTTAAAACTTTGAAAATTAGAATAAATCGAGAAAAAAATGGCGGCTATTTCATTTTTATATTTAGAATTTTGACCACAGGACCAGATGTAAAACTGTTAAAAAGTACAGTTATCTATGTAACAGAAAAAAATATTTAGTCACGTGGTATACTTAATAACCCCCAGAGGCCTATGGGAAAATAACATTACAAAAAAGTGAGGGATAGTAAAAAAGAACTAAATTAAGAGATTGATATAACATTTGAAATCATAGCTAACTATCATTCTGAAAAGGTCAGAGCATGTGAAAATGCATGTTCATGAAAATGTTTAAAGTTTTTAGTCAATCTGATTTTATTTTCTTTATCCGTTTGACTGCCATTCCAAACAGAAAATTTAAAAGTCACATAAATATGTTTAAGTTATTATTACAAAATCTTTAGAAGTTAAGAACATTTCCCAGATGGGTAGCGAAATAACACACATTTTATCCAGTTTATCGTAACACACTTTTAAAGTCTAGGTACGTTAAGTGTACGACACTCGATTTGTCACTTCACAAAATAAATTCCAAACATTAACGATGAGATAGGTATATGTTTAAGTGTTTTTGTTCTAATTACGAGTATCATAATTTTACGTTACTAACAACCGGTATGTAACACCCGGTATGTCAGTGTACTAAAACGTCCCGGTTGAATGATATTGCAAACTAGCGACACCACCTTTGCTAATCCACATAATCAATGGAAGTATACAGTACATATTGTGTTATATTAAGTAAAACGCGAGTATTAGCACCCTTCTGTTTCAATGTGAATTACTGGGGAAGAGTCACATTCTGACGTGGCTGAGTGCTTACGCGTCGGACTAGTATTTTAAAGGATTGCTGACCGCGTGGCTTCAAACCCTGTCAGGGGAAAGCCGTTGTTTCCTTGAGCAAGAAACTTTACATTCATTGCTTAGTACTGGTTGGTTCCAGGAACGGATTCGGGAATGCTTCAATAAGCTTACAGCTTCCAACACAATCGTTCTATTTGTATAAATAAGAGTCATCTAATGATATTTTAAATATACGCGTTTGGATCATTGAATTGTTATCTGTTAGAAATATAAAATCATGTTTTACGTACTTACCTCTTTCTTCGTACATCTCGTTACGGAGTAACTTTAAAGGAAGATACATCAAAGTGATCCATTTCAGCACCCTTTATTGCAAGAGATGGTTAAGTTCGAATAAATCATTCGGGGTCTCAAAATGTTCAAGTTTATTACTTCAATACGCCATTGCATCGGTTATTTCTCAAAATAACCTATTCTAAACAATTGGTTTATCATTTAGATTACATGTATATCAAATTGTTAATGATGTTGTTGAATACTGTTAAATCGTAATCTTTTGTTATAGCCTTTTTGCCCTACGTACAAATATCGTATTGTAAAAATGTCTTGCATGTCAAAATATAAATGTAATTGTAAACTTAGGAAAATTTGAATATTCAGCGATGCAACTAAGAATGGAATCTTCGTTTGAAAAATTGTAAACTGAATGTAAAGTATGTATATGTAAAATTTATAATGTACGTGTATTATATACTTTTCTGCACTTTGTATTATACCGCCAAAAAGTTGTATATGTTTTTGCTAATGAAATATTTGGCTTGACTTGCTAACTTTGTCCTATAAAATTAAAGGGAAAAAACAATGATGGCAGAAATAAAGTTAGTTAGATTTTCACCATTTACTCTCAGATAGGCATGGAGTCACTTTATCACAACAGGTTTTACTTTATTTTGACCTCCGTACATAGTCTTACTTTAAAGCGTAAGTTTGACCTAAATTTTAAGCACAATTTTGTTATCTTAAAGAACTGTATAGTTTGATTAACATTGTCAACCTTGAACCTAACACAAACCAATTATTTCGTACCTAAACATAGGCTTAGATAGGGCGCTTTTTATGTCTGTGTGTATTCAAAGTTTAGCTTATTTGAACATTAAACAATGTCTTACAAAGACAATGCAATATTTAGTTATTTCATTTATAAAGCAGCGTTTATAACATCACTATGTCTATCAATTTTTGTTCTTTGGAGATATTACGTCATTTGTCTTGTAGTTTTTCTGGCTTTTAAAGCAATAACTACATTACTGGACCGGTTTATTTACGGATATATTGACCCACAAAAACGTGCTGTATTTATAACCGGCTGTGACACAGGTAATACGAGTTAAAATGTTGAAAATCTGTTATCAACATAATTTAACATTAACTTAAAAAATATCTGATTGTGAAGTTATTAATGTGTAGCTATAATTATTATCTAAGAATAGAAGTAGCTTACCTGAAAAGATTTCATATTTATGAATTTGCTAACCAATGTGGTGTAGAAAGCCTATGATATTCAATCATAACTCTCGACATCTTTAATGTAGATAAAATGCATATGACGGGGTGGGGTGTTAATTCATTGCAATTTTTAACATTTTAGAGATTTTATTTGCACAGGCCTAGGAAACCGTTGTGCTCGGCATTTAGATAGCTATGGGTACATTGTTTTTGCTGGATGTCTAAACAAGAACAGTTCTGGTGCCCAAAGTTTGAAAACCGATTGTTCGTCTCGGCTTCGCATTGTTGAAGTGAATGCTACAAAGCAAAAAAGTATTGAAGATGCATTGTCCTATATTGAGAAGCACCTGCCCAACAAAGGTTTGAATCGTCTAGAGCTATGTTAATAGTCATTTTTCTTATAAAATATTGGTCTTATAAAATATTCAAATGCAAATGAAGCTTTAGTAATGGACACATTTTGCGTTGTAAAGAAAGGCCAAACATATGTTTTACAACGTTGTTATTAACGTTTTAGAATATGTGCTTTGTGCTTAAAACCTGAAGAAAATATTGCTGAATCGGCAATATTTGTAAAAAGAAAAAACAAGGTTCTAATTTGAGTTCCTTACAAATAAGATACTTCCCGATTTTTACAATATTTACCTCCCTTGCCAAAAGTGGCAGCCATTTTTTTTGGGAGGGGGGGAGTCAATATTCTAAATAATATAATTGACAAAATATGGGGAAAAAAATCATTATTAATTGCTGATTTACGGGAATTGTTAAATTCTTTTTATACTTATGCAGCAAAATTTTATTTATATTGCACCAATATTTAAAATATGTTTGCTGTTTTCATGGAGGTGAAAGAATTATGGGTGATTTTTATCTTATTTTAAAGACCCTGTAACGCAATTCTTTATATGGTTTTATGTAATAAATCTGATGCTCAAATGAAGATTTGTCAGTATTTATGTTTTGAAAAGCATTATTTGTAAAGATATTACAATTACAAATATATTTTCAATAAAATCTAAACCAGTTTTTTTCAATGAAAATTGAGTGCATTGATTTTAACGTTTAATTATAATATAATTATATAAACACTTGCTGTACATATTCAACATATTCTTGGATGTTAGGAAATTGTTTGAGAAGAATAATTTTATAATTATATACATTATACATGTATAAAACTTTTGGCACCCAAAAAAATTGGCGACCAGGGGATGTAATAACTCCTGACAGCATCTATACAATATCACTATAACTGTACTAATTGCAAAAACTCAAAAGAAACAATAGATGACTCAGCTATATAGATACTGAGTGAACTTCTGTAACGGAACACCAAAAAATAAAATACTTCATACAAGTAATGTATACCTTAATGATTTTCATTTTGGTATGAAAATGTAAAAATATGCTGAAGATCAAAAATAAAAAGTATTTCAGAATTATTCTGATTACTATCATTTAAGAATAGATATAACCAAATTACAATGACATTTTATTATCTTAAGTGACAGATGAATTGTATTACAAATATAAATGACATTTAATTATCTTGATTGAAAGATGAGTTGTGACACAATTTTTTGAAACTTGTTAAGGACTGTGGGGCGTGGTAAACAATGCTGGTATGGACATGCTCGGAGATGTTGAACTGACCCCCGTGTCACTTTACGAGAAGTGCTTTGAACTGAACTTGTATGGGTATATACGAGTGATGAAAATATTCCTTCCTCTAATTAGACAATCTAAAGGTAAAACATACAAAAAATATACAAATGTATTTATAATGAATTGTTTTTAAATAAAAGAATCAAGTACATGTTAAGCATGTTTGTAAGTAGGAAATATCAAGATTCATGAAGAAATTGAAATGGAAACGATGATTGTTAGAATCGTAAATATGGAAAATATCGTAGGCTCTGGTTTGTTACGTCTGTTACGTGAATACATTGTTCATCAGCTTTAACAGAATTCAACATTTGAAAAGAACTATGTTTTTTTTTAATCAGTAAAAAATGAAATCTGTAAGAACGAAATGTAATAATAATAACAAACAACATATTTTAAATCATTTTAACATAAGGTATATTTTGGGTGTCAACTGTGTTTAATTCCAGGACGTGTGATTAATATGTCAAGTGTTCGGGGGCGAGTGTATGAACCATGTCAAGGCAATTACGAGACAGCTAAACATGGAATAGAGACCCTCTCTGACTCGCTGAGACTAGAAATGGTTAAATTTGGGGTCAAGGTTATTATCATAGAGCCTGGAGATTTCAGTAACGCAACGGCGATCGGATCAGAGCCCCAGGTATGTAATTAATGGCAATGTTACCTAGTACCTACATCATTAATCGAGTGTGTGTCGGTTTGATATTTTATATACTAGTACCGTTTACATATAATGGATCAATATTCAAAGATTGAAAATGGCCGCAGTGGGTTCGAATCCCGCCAGGTACTTTGGATTCCTTCAAATGAGGAAGTTATCCAAGTAGCTTAAGGAACGTCTTGTTGTTCTATTCGGGAGCTCGTTCGTGCCTGAAATAATTCACGGAGGGGCCAGACGTCTGCCTGCGTAAAAAACTGAAAAGTTCCCATATGACCTCCAATGTGTTGTTGCGACGTTAAACCCAACCAAAATAATAATAATAAAAATAATAATAAAGAATCTTCAACATCTTACGTTGTTAAGTGACATCGTAAGACAGAAAACAGACTGCGTAAAGACATATGTTTAGCGGTGAACCATTTATTAGTATTTTACAATCAGTCTGTATGTTTCTCCATATCAGATAGTGAAAAAGACAAATGTGTAAGCATCGTAAAAATCATAATGTTTTATTAAAAAGTTTATATATCAAAACGTTTAACATGAAGGTATGTTGAAGTCTTGAAATCACTGTGTTATCGGATTTCCAGATAACAAAATATGTAGCCATTCCCAAAAGTATGGGTACTGCTGCGCAAAGTGACTTTAATTTGCCGCTGTTTGATTAAAAAATATACATGTATACGTATATGAGATTTGATTGCATTCAATACTGGATTATCACACATGATGTCGTCAGGTTTTCAATCAAAGCTTTAAGTAGATGTATTTCCTTGAGTTTACACAAGTATTTACAGAGAAGTTCTAAATTAAAACAACAATGTATACACGAATTAAATAAGTGTACTTTACTATGGTATTTCGTAGTCTCGCCCCTCAAAAGTCGAGGGCAAAGACACGATAACATGCTCATTTATCGTGACTTCGTCCTCGGCTTTTGAGGGCGCAGACACGAAGAAACGATCTATTTTTGGCGAAATAACGATACTTTAACGAGGTCTTTTTCTGTAAAAATTATCATGGTGGCGGGTAGAAATCGTTGTATCGGTGCCATATATTTGTAATTTCGCCGTAGCTTCGCCTCAAAATGCGAAGGACGAAGACACGATAATAGGCCAGATTACCGAGTCTTCGTGTCGTCATGAGTTCGCCCCGAAAGTCATAGACACGATAAATTGGCCAATTATCGTGTTTTCGCCTTTCGCATTTTGAGGCAGACACGACGACACGACAATTATAGAGCGCCGATCGCCGACGCGATAATTCTGCAGAAAGTAATTTCGTGTTGACAATTTTTATGAGATCCAACATGTAAATTGAATTTATCTTAAGACCTTAACATATTTCATCAGATAAGAAGAAATCAACTGGAAGTAGATGAAATTTGGGAATCAGCAAGAAGCGAGGTTAAACAATCATATACGAAGAAAGGCATAGATTCTTGGATTCAACCACCTAAAGGAGGTTGGCCCCCTAAGGCAGACTCAACAGCTGTAGCGAAGGCTGTTGCGCATGCGCTTTCTAGCGAAATACCAAAACATAGATACCTCGTTCAGGGAAAATGGGCTAAAGTTCCATTTGATTCATGGGTGAGTGACCATATTTCTGCATGCTTTACAGAATACGTTGTCGTAATATGTTATGCAGAGATATTACATATTTAATATTGCCTCAATTCTGCTGAAAAGTTCTTCATCGTATGAAACGTGAAATGATGAATATATGACACATTTTATTGACTTTTCAACGTTTGTTTTCTTTCTTTTATTTTCTTCTCTGGTATAATATAATATCTTATGACTTTTTATACTTATGAAACTATAAAAGCATAAGTACAAAACAGGATTGTTAACTGCTGTAACTTTTGTATAATACCTATCTACATTTATGGTATGTTTCTTGAAATTATTATGTTTATTTGTTTTGATTTCAGTTTTTGACATATGCGCACAACTGGTTGCCAACATTTATTGTTGACAAATACATGAGTTATTGGAAGAAAGACCTTGTTTATCCATCCACTAGATAGGTTTCAGCTGGAGCTTAAGATTTTGCTTTGGAATTATTAAAATGTATTCATAATACATAGCACATTTTGTTGCATTGTATCTCGGTATTTCATATTGTAGCACAGACATTATCAATCGTTACCATGCTAAATATAGTATATGTCCATCTTTCAGTCTAGAAATGCATCATTTTTATGGAAAGTTTTTCAAATATCAACTGACTGAACAGTAAGTAAACCCCAGAAAAAATGAGCCAATCAATGGGTATGCTTTGGAGTGCGGGTAACTAATATCTGCACTCCAGTTAACGCACTGTGCATTGTAACACGGCAAAACGTCCGTACCGCAAAACGTACGTATATGAACGTTTTGCGGCGCATATCGTCCACATTTTTCTGACGTACATTTTGCAGCAAAAAGGCATGGTCCTGCCGCATAACGTCCATGTTTTAAAGTTTATATAATTTTCGTTAATTTTGACCAGTTATTATCAGGTGTTATTGAGTGTTAATTTTAGTTCACCTGAGTATGCGCCTGTCTGTCTGTCCGTCCAAATTTAGCTTGTAACAACACTAGCATCCACATACCCTTAGCAATATGTCCAGAGTTATCTGCCCTTGAATTACAATATCTGTTATATTTCACATTGTTACCACTCTAACGCTTTCATTTCTTCTTTAATCTTGACAATTTTCAACTGAATATCTATGACCATAAAAATCTCATCAAAGTTAGATTATAGGCTAATTCTAACCAAAAAAAACAACAACAACAAACGCACTTTATTTTACCTTGTTAGTGCTTTCGTTTCTTCTCCATTCTTATTTTTCTTTATACAGAATATGTATAACAATAAGTCTCGAGAGCTAAAACGACTGAATATGTCAACAGTTATTTTGCCTTTGAATAATAAAACTAAAAACATATTTTAAAGTCAAATTATTGAATTGTGATAAAACTGCCATCAAAACTGTTATCAATGATCAGATGTCATTCATACATTTATGACCGGACGGACATCTTGAATAGTTCAACTATAATATTGACCTTGAAATGACCTTGACCTCAAGGTCACTATTGAATTTTGCTTAAATTACCACATCTTTGTCATTTACAGATATTTGGATATTGATGACTGTCACAATAGGGACTACGATGGGATACCAGGCCGACCACAATTGCTATCTAAAACAACCAACAACTCAGAACAGAAAAAATATATACAAATTTATTTACAGAAATGAATATTTATAAATGAAAAATGATTGTATATGATAAACTACTATGATAAGTCACTGCACAAACAAACACTATCAACGTATCTCAGTCTATTTCTCCCGTAAAGTTTCTGTCATGATGTATCAATAAAGTGGTGGCGTTGTTAAACAAAAAATTCGTCACAATGGCGGGCGTCTTGTATAAAATCTTATCAAGCGTAACTGTACTTCCTACAGTGTTGGCACAGTTGATAGGATCCTGAACAAGGGCATGCGTCACCCCTTTAGCCATGGACATACGTGTGGAGGGCCCGTGTCATCTTCGGGTGTGTCCTCAAATAAGAAGATACAAAGTATAAAACATGGTAAGTTCCATGATAATCAAACATAAGGGTATAATAAAGTCCCTTGGAAAAGACTCGACCTTTGTCGGTTTCCAATAAAATAACGTGCTTCTTTGAATAAACAAAATGCCCACTATAGTACACCCTACATTCCGTGGAACAAAAATTCAATCACATCCGCATAATACTGCGTTGCAAATATATTCAAATATACGCCACATAATAACCACCAATAAATAAACGTCTTCCAAAATCATGCCACTGAAGATCCTTCTCTAGAGATACGTTAGTTTTGATACGTTGTATTTTGATACGTTGTATTTACTTATAACAAAAACTGATGATAAATGAAATGAAGTAAGATGATAACGTAAATTAAATTGATTGAAACAAATCATTACGATACTGCAGCATTTTACATAAAGTTACACAAATACAGTAACACCATAATAAATTATTTATGAATAGATATATAAAGATCTATAAAATATTCATGGCTCCTATACAATTACAATATAATTAAAACTTCAATTAACATACATCAATTAACATGTCTCGGTATAAATTTGCAAAAGCGAAACATTAGAATAAAAAGAGCTTTTAAAATTTAATCTGCAAAAATTTAGAAAAACAATAAATTACTGCCAAATAACTAAACCTGAATCAAATAAACTATAATTCTAATAGAAAATAGTATTTTACGAAATAGCAAAAATTTATGAAACAAAATCACTAGAAAATTAAATTTACCTTGTACAAGCTGTGATTTTATGACAAATATAATTTGTCTGTCACCGTCATAGTGACCTGTATAACGTCAAGTGCATTGCAATATGTCACTTAAAATTTAGTCATTATATAGCAAACTACTGAAGACTGAGCGGGAAAACAGATCGTGCTAAACATGAAAAAATCGATTTGCACGAAATAAAGCTGGGACGGCGGAAAAATAATGGAGTAAGAGAAAGGTCCGTCTTTTAAATACAGACATGTAGCATATATCCGGTTCATAAAACAAAAATGTAACTTTCTTATTACTGAAAGGATTTTTGTGAAATAAACGGCAAAATGTTTAAATTGAGACATGGAAATTTATGCAAACCATAAAAATACTCTAAATAATAATTTCACCCGAAAACTCTAAATTGAACAAAAGATGATGCAATCTCACAGCAATGAATATAGAGTAAAAATGAGGTTCGGCGTGAAAATATAATGCAATATTTTACAAACGTACTTTCACTTTGTGACATTTACGCCCCCTTTAAATAAGAAAATTGATAAATTTTCTTTAAATACAACAAAGTGAAAACGACAAATTGCAAAAATGTAAGTAGAAATACTGTACACCATATTTATAACCACCATAAATACTACACTACACTCTACATTATACCCTGCTTAAATAATCTGCACCTATGTTTTCTCTACCTGGGATTGCTCTAATCCTCATCCTGTATGGCTGCAAAAGCAAAGACCATCTCATTATTCTAGAGTTACTTAACTTTGCCTTGTTAAGATACAAAAGCGGCTGGTGATCTGTCTCTAGAATAAATTCCTTACCAAACAAGTATCTGTGAAATTTAGAAATTGCCCAAACAATACCAAGGCACTCCTTCTCTATTACAGAATACTTCTGTTCTCTTGGTAACATCTTTCTACTGGCATAAGCTACTGGAAATTTCTCCTCACCTTGTTCTTGAAGTAATACAGATCCTAATCCACAATCAGAAGCATCAACTCTGAGAATAAATATCTTGTCTAAATCTGGTAATTTCAAAATGGGCGGACCGGTCAAACTAGCCTTAAGAGTCTGAAAAGCCTTTTCCTGACTTTCACCCCATTCAATACGATTTGGTTGAAACTTTTTTGTTAAATCGGTCAACGGAACAGCAATGGCGGCAAAGTTAGGGATGAACTTCCGGTACCAAGACACAACCCCTAAAAATCGCCGGACTCCTCAATTAGTCGTGGGTCTCTCGGTCTCCTGAATCGCCTTGACCTTACTGAGAACAGGTTCAATGGACTTACTACCTCCTATCATATGACCTAAACATTCCAATTTTTCAAAACATATGAAACACTTGGACGGTCTAGCAGTAAGCCTAGACTCTCTTAATTGGGTAAATAACTCATACAATGCATTGATATGCTCTGGCAATGTGACTGTATAGACCAAAATATCATCTATAAAACTATCTGAGTGATCTAGATCTTTCAAAACCTTTCTCATCAGTCTACAGAATGTTGCAGGGGCATTGACTAAACCAAAGGGCATTTTCCGGAATTGAAAAAGTCCCGACGGGGTTTCAAATGCGGTCAAAGGTTTTGCAATGTCAGACAATGGAACTTGCCAGTATCCTTTACTAAGGTCAATTTTCGAAAAATACCTGTATTTTGATAATTTCGAAAATATCTGTTCCATATTGGGCATCGGTTCCGCATCAAATACCGTGCATTTATTGATCTGTCTAAAATCAATACAGAACCTAATCGTGTTATCCTTTTTCCTGATAAGGACAATTGGACTAGAAAACGGAGCATTAGAAGGTTCGATAACTCCCAACCCTAGCATTTTATCAACTTCTTCCTTTACTATCTGCTGTGAGTGAAAAGGAATAGGATAACCCTTAGTCCTTACCGGTTCTGACGTAGTCAACTTAATGTCATGCTGAACTAATGACGTATTTCCGGGTATATCTGTTAAAACATCTGAAAATTTCTTTAACAAGGTTGCAATCTGAGTCTTACAATCTGTTTGTAAGTCAGGATTGACCTGAACATCTTTATATGTCTCTGAACCTTTCTTCAATGGACATAACAATATGTCACTATTATCTTGGTAACTTTTTTCTAAACTATCATCTTCATCTAATCTATCATACCATTTTCCGCTTCTACAATAGCTGCACTTACCTTTGCCAATGCACCTCGTTCTGGTTCGAAATTTCTTTCAACATACTCCTTCAGCATATTGGCATGGAAAGTTTTGATCTTATTGTTACCTATGTCTATCGATAATCTAATTTGTTCACGACCTCGGACACTACAAATGGACCTTTCCATTGTAACAACAACTTATTGCGTTTTGTATAGGTATAAGAACCAGTACTTTACTTCCCTTCTTAAAAGTTCTATCTCTAGCTTTCCTGTTGTAATACTTTCTATACCTAATACTGCTCTTCTCTAACTCCTGCTGTGCTATCTTACATGTACTTTCTAGTCTTTCTTGCAAATCAACTACATACTGATAAGTTGTCTTAACTTCGTCATTCTCTGTTTTTTCCTGACCATAACTCTCTCAAAATGGTTATTGGACCTCTTATACTACGTCCATATAACAATTCAAATGGCGAGAATCCTAAACTCTCTTGTGGAACTTCCCGATACGCAAAACAACATAGCATTCAAATACTTATCCCAATCTGTAGGTCTTTCACTACACATCCGTTTCAACATCTGCTTTAAACTACCATTAAATTTCTCCACTAAACCATTACAC